CTAACAAAAGCCACGCCCTGACCTGGATACCCCAGGCAAGCTTGATCTCAGAAGCTAAGCAGGGCCAATCCTGGCAAGTACTTGGAAGGGAGACCTCCGAGGAATACCAGAACCGGGATGCAGAGGCAGGCAATAGAAAGCCACCTCTCTAAAACATCCTGGCCCCACTAGGGATCGCCAGAAATCAACCATGACTTCCAGGTACACAGGCACACACAAAAGAGCCCACAACGTTCATCCAGTCTTGTAAAGTTTATGGCAGGTTGTCTCCGTTATTCCTTGTCTAGCTGCATCTCACTCACTTTTGCTGCTGATTATACAGCACCTTTCATATACAGATTCTGGACAGGTAGCAGCATTACAGAATTCGGCTGTGCTAAGAAACAAAACAATACACCCCCCCTGCTCAGTGTCTTAAAGACTAACAGGTTTGTTGTAGCAGAAGCTCTGAGTTGCCTCGAGGCTCCCTTTAGCAGACACATCAAATATATGCATGGGTAAAGAGGCTCAAGTGGTTAAGACGCTGAACTGCAGGCTGTGGAAGGTCGGTAGTTCAGCAGTTCGAGACCCGAGTGCCACATGACGGAGTGAGCTCCCGTCTCTAGTTCCAGCTCCTGCCAACCTAGCAGTTCGAAAGCAAGAAATTGCAAGTAGATTAATAGGTACCACTCCAGTGGGAAGGTAACAGCGTTCCGTGCACCTTGGTGTTTAGTCATGCTGGCCACATGACCACGGAAACGTCTTTGGACAGCGCTGGCTCTTCGGCTTTGAAACGGAAATGAGCACCGCAACCCTAGACTCGGATTCGACTGGCTTTTGAGCAAGGGAACCTTTACCTTTACTTAAAGAGGCAAAGAAATTGGACTCAGTATCACAGCACAGCGCTTCTATGTGCATGCAACAGGGTGTTTTTTATTCACAATAGCAAATGGAGATAGATCAAGATGGGTAGCCATGTTAGTCTGTCTTTAACAACAGAAAAAAACAAGAATCCAGTAGCACCTTCAAGATTAGTCTTCAAGGTGCTTCCTAAGTTTTTAAGATGCTGCTGGACTCTTGCTCTTTTCAGTAGCAAATGGGTTTGCAATTTTGAATTAAATGAACACAAGAAGCTGCCTCATACTGAGTCACTCCCTTGGTCCATTAAGGTTAGTATTGCTTGCTTCGATTGGCAGCAGCTCTCCAGGGTCTCAAGCAGAAGTCTTTCACATCACACACCAACTGATGTGCCAGGAATTGAACCGGGGATCTTGTGCACACAAAACAGATGCTCTGCCACCGAGCCACAGCTCCTCACTTGGGTTTTGCAGCGTAATGTCCCAGATGGACCATACTCCCTATATTTCATGGCATTTGGTGTCCTCCCCCCTTTACATTTTTTTCCTCTGTACTTGTTTGTAGGTGTGTCTTCCGGTCTCTCTCTGCTAACAGAGAATAGATGCTTCATACATCTGTCAAAGTGGACTCTGTTTCTGTTCCACAAAACCTTCTGCCATAAGAAACCTGTCGGTCTTCAAAGCAACAGGGAGCTTGTGCTCCTTCTTCTAAACACCTACTTTAGTGGAAAGCTCCTTTTCCACCAGCCAGAGACTCAGGAGTTGCAAGGAGAAAGTTCCACACAGAGATTAAAACCAATGTTCTCAGCAGGTTCCAACAACATCACTCAGCAGCCCTTTGGGACAGGGGAAGCAGAGAAAGGTGTAGAGAATCCATTTGAATGGAAATAGCACTCGGCACTGTGTACAGCTTGTGGATGTTCAAAGTAACACTCCTAACAATTACTTAGTGTAGAAAAATCACTCCTCTAGCTATTCCTTGGGGCTGGTTAACATACAGGAGAACAAAACAAAATAATCAAGCCATAGAATGGATTGTGCCGCTTCCAACTGCGGGGAAAGGATCACATTTTGGAAAGCCTCCCCATGTTAAAAATTCTGTGCAAACAGCATAGTAAGCAAAATGGGGAAACAGAACCTTTCTCCCTAATGAGCTATTTTTATCTTTGCACGAGGGCTTGTTTTTTTCAATGTGAAGGAGGCAGGAATATAGTAAAAGTGAGTAGTATGTTTGCCCACCTCAAGATTTTGCCACCTCATTAGCACCTTGTTTTTCTGCATGTGTGGATCAGGCCTGGTGTCTGGAGCGGTGAAAGGACAGAGCTACCTTGTTACACTGCAGAGGGTAGCTCTGGGTGCAATGGACCCCAGAACCAGCAATTTAACAGAGGGAAAGGGAATTTTGGTCTGCATCAAACACAAAGCAATTTCATATGGTCATGACCGACATTATTAATGAGACTGATTCAAAGGGCAAGATCTCCCCCTTTCCCCATTTCAATCATTGTTTACGGATGGGTTGAATCCTGTTAGTGATTGCAAGCAGCAAGCCAGTGGATGGTAGGTGCTCATTCACAGTTAGTTCATTCATCAGGAGCAAAAGGACACCCTCTCTTGATTGTTCAGTAGCACAAAACAAGTAGAAGGTGCAATCTAGGTAATGATATTTATGATATACGTCTCAGTCTTGCCGCAGTAAAATCTGTCCAAGTATCTTTGGAACACAAGCTTATATTAAAAAAGTGGAAAAGATCCTTCAGCCCAACCTCTTTCATAGACATATCACACCTAATCTGTCTCTGGGAATGAAGCACAGGATCATCCCAGAGTGCAAGGGGCATTCAGGGACCCTAAATGCTGACTAGTCCCTTCAGTCACCCTTTTTGTACACTCACAGAACTAAAAGAGAGGTTCAAAGAGTGGATCTTTATTTTCCCTTGTTTTCACAGCACGTTTATGGATAGAATGAAGAGTGCAAATGGCATCCAACGTTGGGAATACAGACAAAGGTGGTGGGAAGCTATATATTCTTATAAACCCTCTAATGTATGTTTTATTCTGCTGGTCCATGACTGTAATAAATTACTGACTGATTGCATATTACAGATTTTTTTTTAAGTACAATCTGAGGTACAGATCCCAAGTCAATTACCTGCATGGTACCAGAGTCTGCAAGCACGCCTTCGTAAACTTGCTAAAATTCTAACTTCCAAAAAATAAAAATAATTTTTATGCAATTATGTTGAAATTATTACAAACAGAAGGCAAAAACTGCCAGCAGGGATAGAACCCACTTAGAGAAGAAGGAGGCTACCCAGGACTATGCCCCCCCACCCTTTCCGAAACCCTCTCCAAGGAAAATAAATCAATAATGGAAGAAGAGATGGCTTCTCTTCCAAGTCTGAGATCTTCAGTGCTGTTCTGAAGGAACACGGCCACGTAAAGGGTTTCCATAAAGTGGCCAGGTTGGGGGTGGGGAGAGGCAGGAAGGGTTCCCTTCCAGTCTTTCTTGTCCATCGCAGTTCATCCTTAGGACACTAGCATGAGAGATATGGAGGGAAATTGACAATGGTACTCCCAAACATACCAACTTCACTGAAAACCAAATAGTCCTGGTGCTGGATGTCTCATTGGTTGGGGTCAGACTGAGGGATATAATTAAAGGAATCATCAGTGATTTGGTTTATTGTTATTATCTGTGCCAAGGGGGTAGAGGAAGTCCTGTCTGCATGTTCAGCTGTGAGCATCAAATGTCTCTGGGTCATCTCTTGCAGCATCCCTACTTCTTCCTATTCCTGTGAGCTCGGCTTTGTACAGGGCAAAACTTTTATGTTAAGACAGAGGAATGAAATCAGTGCCGTGTATGTGGCAGTTTAACACCCACACTACACAACTGCAATGTTTCACATCGAGAAGGGGAGGGGTCAAGATCCAGAAACCTCAAAAACTTGCACATAAACATGGAAGAGAGTATCAAACAATGTTTTACCTAAAGACATGAAGTTTAGACAAGCAACACTGAAGATGGTTCTTCATTCCTTGCATGGAGATCCTAGACAGAGTTACACCCTCCTGAGACGACTGAAGTCAATGGGGTTAAAAGACTGTAACTCTGCTCTGAGGTGCACTGTCATTCATAACTCCTGCTCCCCTTGGGTGTATAATTTGGGGTAGTTCAAAGCCACATTTTGAGGCTGCAGCCAGCCACCGGCAGATTCTTAATATTCAGTTCTTCTGTGACCACCCCAGTTTAGAGCACTTGGCACTAAAACCAGGCTTTGGACTGGAAAACGGGATATGTCCCCTTGCAGGGGAGAAGCCCAGTGTCTGGGGAATGTGTAGTTTTGGGTGGTCCAAAACCTATTTTTGGAGTGCAGCGCTGTTTAAGTGTCTTTAATCCCTGTGTTTGAAGTGGTGAATAAGGCACTAGGAACTGCAAACAAGGGACTGGAAGCCAACTTCAGCCTCATCTTAACTACAACAGATCAGAAATCTCAGACTGTGCAGGCTTACGCCGGAGGAATTGCAAGCACTGAGTTTACTTCCCAGAAAGCACGCGTACGGCATGGACTTTCTGGCTGCATTTCTATCCGCCCTCACTCCAGTGGAACTTTTGAACAAACACGCAAGAAACAGGGCTTAAAAGAGGCTCGCTGGCTGGGGCGCGCAGGGGGGGGGAGCATTGTTCCCTCTAAGCTGAGTTAGTGTGAGCTAGCTCACAGTTTTTTAGCCTCCAGCTCACACATTTCTGTCTTCGCTCACGAAGGGATGGCTCCAGAGCAAACTAATTGATGCAGTAGCCAAATCGCTCGCTCACAGCTTTAATGCCAGCAGCTCACAAAGTAGAATTTTTGCTCACAAGACTCCACAGCTTAGAGGGAACGTTGGTGAGGAGCCTCGCAACCTGCCCCCAGGAACGGTCTAGGGCGGGGGTGGGCTGCAATCTCTCGCTTCCCAAAGTCCCCCTGGATCTGGTCCGTCCCTTGGCGAAGCGGGAGCTGCCCGGGGCGAGGGGGTCCCCCTGGTGGCCAGGCCAGGCGCGGGCGGCTCGTGTGCGAAACCGCGACCTCGGGCAGCCAGGCCACCCAGGCAGGGCATGGAGACCCCCGACCCTCCCTCCCTCCCTCCCTCTCTCTCGCGGCGCCCCCTCCCCGGGCGGCTCACCCAAATGGAGAAGACGAAGGCGACGATGTTGATGGGATAGGCGGGGCAGAAGCAGGACAAGATGCTGAGCCACAGGTAGTTCTTGGGCATGTGCGGCTCTTCCTCGGGCCCCGCAGCCTCTTCCTCGGCGCCCAGCTGGAGCTCGGTGCCACCGCCGTTGTTGTCCAAGGCCCGCTTGAGGTCGGAGGAGGGCGGCGACGAGGAGCCCTCCATGAGCGGCCGCCGGAGGGAAGTTGGACGGGACGGGCAGGACGGCTGGGGAGGAGGAGGAGGAGGCGCGCTCGCTCGGCTCCGGAGAGGGCTGCGCAGGGAGACGCCGCGCCGCGTGGCTCAGCCCCTCATCCCGCTCTCCGAGAGCAGAGGAGAGCCCCGCTCGCTCGGGCCGGCCCAGCCCAGCCCCGTGCGCCTTGCAGACGCGCTCAGGTTTCGCTCCCGAGCCGCGGACCCAGGAGAAGGGGGAGGCGCGAAGAAGAGCACTTTGGGGGAAGGGGCGGGGGGAGAGCTGCTCGCCTGGGACGCCGACGAGGGGCCCTCTCCTGCCGCGGCTCGCCCGAGAGAAGAAGCCTCGCTGGCTCAGACTGCAGGGGGCCCCCCAGCCGGCTTCGTTCGGAGTTCTCGCCACCCCTTGCCCGCTCAGGCAGCTCGGGGAAGGAAGGAGGCGGCACTCCCAACAGAAAAGGCCAGCGCGGGCCGTGCGGTAGCAACCGAGTCGCCGGGCACCTGGTGGACTTTTCAAGGCAAGGGGAGCTGTGCAGAGGTGGCTTGCGCCGCTGCCTTCCTCTGCGTGACAACCCTCGTCTGACTTGGCGGCCTCCCACCGGCTTTGCTTAGCCTCCCGGCTATGACTCGATCCGCCTGCTGCGCGCTATCAGTGGTGTAAAAGAAAAAGAAAAAGGGATCGATCGAAACCAATTCCCCCCCCCGTGTAATGGCGGGGGGGGGAGGCACCCTCTCACTGCCTGTCTAGGGCACGTCACGTCTGCACCTCTCCTAGTTCCGAGGAGCCCCCTCCATGGGATTTAATGGGGAACCTGCAAAAAGTTAGGATTCTGTAAAATGACCTGTGGGCTCCTGTTCCCACAGATATGCTAGCTTCCCTTCTCTCCCTTCTCACACACTTCATTTACACAAACCTGTTTGTTTGTTCATTTTCCTGTCTCTTGTTATATACATGCTTGTTGAGGGAGAACTGGTTTGGTCCTGCCTGCTCTGTGGTGGAGAGCCTGTTTTGCATGCAGCAGGCCCCGTGTTCGAATCCTGGGAAGGGATCTCCAGGGATGTGCAACGGGAAGGACCCGTCTTTGCTTGCGCCTTTGCAGGGCCGCTTGCACCAGAGTAAACAATGCTGAGCTAGCTGGACCAAAGGTCTGATGTGGCGTGATGACTTTTGTCATTTTTCCATGCAGTATATATATTTGCATCCTGTCAGGGGGTCTGTGACATTAGGAGAGGCTCCCTTCATCTTCTGATGCGGAATAAAGCAACTTCATAGAAATGGGCAGTCATAACCTCTCTGTTTGGCCTGTTGCCCTCTGTAAAGCCACAACTCTGTGCACATTTGGGAGTAAGCCCTACTGGACTCATTGAGTAAATGAGCCCAGAATCAGGCTGCATGCCTCTCTCTGGGCTGATGTCTGCCTTTTCAGCAACTGTCTGGAACATATTGTCAGGATCCACAGCAAGACAACGAAGTACACGCTTCTAAGAAGGTTTTACTTTTATTGAAAAGCCATAGAGGCAGTAACATGAACACTGTTAGGAATGGCGGGCTACCAATGTGCATAATAGGATATAGGGCATTCGTATGCACGCCCCCCCCCCAAGTACTACCCAATTAGATGGGCTCCCGCACACGGGCATTTGGCAGATTCTCTAACGGCTGCGAAGCTGGGAAAAGAAGAAGCTCCCAAGAAACCTAGACACTACCAACTCCCGCGGTGACCTTGAGAGATATGCGTTACAGCTCAGAAGCAATTAAGCGCATGGGAAGGAATGCAGAGCAATTAGAAACAAACACCACACTCATGGCAGCTATAGCTGGCACATATGCCTACTGGGATGGTGGTGGGACATGCCATCAAGTTGCAGCTGACTTAACGGCGGCCCTGCAGGGTTTCCAAGGCAAGAGACGTTCAGAGGCCTAATATTCTTTGGCAGTCTCCCATCCAAATAGTAACCAGGGCGGACCTTGCTTAGCTTCTGAGATCTGATGAGAAGAAGAAGAGAAGAGATTGGATTTATACCCCACCCTTCACTTGGAGTCTCAGAGCAGCTTGCAAACTCCTTTCCCTTCCCCTCCCCACAACCAGAGGTCATTTCGGGGGGGAACGCGGGGAACACAGTTCCCTCGGGTGAGGTGCAGGGGGCGGGGCACATGACGAAGCCCCGCCCCCTGCTTCCAGCCGCCCCGCTTCCAGCCCTCATTCAGCCAGGAGGAGGCAGGAGAAGAGGGAGGGTAAGTTGCTTCCTCCCCGTCTCTCCCCACCCCTGCCTGCCTGGGGCCAGGGAGGGCCTTGGTGGGGCTTCCTCACACTCCTGCTGGCCTTGCAGGTCCACCGCCGAGCCCCTGATGTCAGGGGGTGTGGCATATGCTAATGAGTTATGCTAATGAGTTCCCCTAGCTCTTTTTCTACGAAATGACCCCTGCCCACAACAGATACCCTGTGAGGTAGGTGGGGTTGAGAGAGCTCTTGACAGAAACTGCTCTTTTTCAAGACCAGCTCTTATCAGAACTATGGTCAGGGCATACCTAACATACCAGGAAAGGAAACAATGTGAAAGGTATTAATTCAGTGAATGTCAAGCGTCCATACAAAGTTATGGGGTGGGGTTTTTTTGTCCCACTGATTTCAAGGTGGCAAATAGGCTTGTCAGCTCTGGGTTGGGAAGCTCCTGGAGGGTGGAGCCCGGGGAGGACAGCCTGGGCCCTCACGTGGGGTGCAGTGCCACAGAGTCCACCCCTCCAAAGCAGCCGTTTTCTCCAAGGGAACTGACCTCTGTAGTCCGGAGGTCCATTATAATGCCAAGAGATCTCCAGGCCACATCTGCAAGTTGGCAGCCATAGAGGAGAGCACACGTGTACTTTAGTCTCCCATTAGAATGAGTGGGACGTGAAAGTGCTTCGTTTTGGGATGGGTCGTGTCCAATAGGAGGTCCATTTTGCCTCTGTTTGAAGGTGGGGCCCAGAGCAGATGCCCTTATTCCCCCCCCAAAAAAAATCCAATACATTGCTAGACACTGCTCATCCATTTGTCAAGGGATTCCAGAGAGAACTCACGTATGTGGCTGAGAGAGCACTTTTGAAAGCCAAGGCAGTGGCCAGATAGCAGGAAAGCGATCGATTTTTAAATAGCATCCATTTGTCTCCACTTACTGATGGGTGCGAGGGAGAGAATGAATGGCTCCGATGCACCACAGAGGAAGGTGATACAGGCAGTTTGCCCTAGCCGGTCTGGGAAATCCTGATACATCGCAAAGGGAGCTTGCAGTTCTAGGGAGAAGCACAAATGTAGGCTGGGACCCTCAGGCCAGGACCCTGGAGAGCTAGCCTGAAAATCCAGCTCCGCTATGAAGACTACCGGGTAAGTGAACCAAAGGCTGTTTCTTAGCCTACCCTCCAAGACTGTTGTGAGGATAAAATGGGGAAGGGCGATGCATGCTCCTTGGAGGAAGCATGGGATGAAAATCGAATACTTAAGTTGGAGGAGAGTTAAAGACAAGCAAGTAAGGGACATGTAAGCAGACAGGAGGAGGAGGAGATTGGATTTATACCCCGCCCTTCACTTACTCAAAGGAGTCTCAGAGTGGCTTACAATCTCCTTTCCCTTCCCCTCCCCACAACAGACACCCTGGGAGGTAGGTGGGGCTGAAAGAGCTCTTTTGAGAACTTCTCTTGAAAGAACAGCTCTAAAATAACTTGTGACTGACCCAAGGTTGCACCAGCAAGCTGCACGTGGAGGAATGGGGAAATCAAACCGGGTTCTCCCAGATTAGAGCCCGCGCTTGTAACTACTACACCAAAGTGGCACAGCAAAGGGAAGGGAAGAACACACAAGAAAACCCAAAGGTGTTCCGTCAAGGAGCTAAAATCAGCGGGAGTCTTGTGACACTTTATAGGTGGCCTCTGCAGGGAGGTCTTACTTTATTTATTTATTTTACTCCATTTATGCCTTGCCTTTCTCCCCACTGGAGACCCAAAGCACCCTACATCTTTCTCCTCTCCTCCATCGCATCCTCACAATGAACAACACTGCTGCAAGGTGGGTTAGGCTGAGAGGTCACCCAGCAGGCTTCCACCACAAATTTAAATCCAAAGTAGGCATTTCAATCTGGGTCTCCCACATCCTTGTCTAACAGTCCCAGCATTTGCTGGTTCTCAGCATTTGCTCGGTAAAGGTAAAGGTTCCCCTGCTCGAAAGCCAGTCGAGGCCGACTCTAGGGTTGCGGTGCTCATCTCCGTTTCACAGCCGAAGAGCCAGCGCTGTCCGAAGACGTTTCCGTGATCATGTGGCCGGCATGACTAAACGCCAAGGCGCACGGAACGCTGTTACCTTCCCACCGAAGTGGTACCTATTTATCTACTTGCAATTTCTCGCTTTCGAACTGCTAGGTTGGCAGGAGCTGGAACTAGAGACGGGAGCTCACTCCGTCATGTGGCACACTCGGGTCTCGAACTGCTGAACTACCGACCTTCCACAGCCTGCAGTTCAGCGTCTTAACCACTTGAGCCACTGCAGCTCCTATTTGCTCTGTGCCCTCGCCCAAAACCCCAGCAGCAGATTTGGGGGCTACCACTGGTCCACATGATGTCATTGGGCAGACAAACCTGCTATTGTATGATCTTCCTGGGAAGGTCATACTGAAAGTGTGTTTGGGATCCAGGTGGGCAGGAAGGTGCAGACTTCCTCCTCTCCCCACTGACATCTGGCGCCACATCCAGCACCGTTTCCCTTGATGTCAACTTTTCCTCTGGCTGCTGGGGGCTTTTACAAAAATAACTGGAAGATATATGGTTACAGCACCATTATAGTGATATGAGCACAGTGCGAATCCAATGGTACCTTTAAGACCAACAAAGTTTTATTCAAGGTGTAAGATTTCATGTGCATGCACACTTCTTCAGATACAATGAAATGGAAATTACCAGTCTATACATATAGGTAGAGGGTGAGCAGTAAAAAAAATTTTTACACCGCATTTACACTATGGTCTGATATATATCAGGAACGAACACTACAAATGTTTTGGAAAAAACAGAGAATCCATTTGGAAAGTCTGAGACTTTGTGAAGACACTTCTTTATGAGTTTTGATGTGTGAAGAAGTCTTTACGAAACGGAGCACCAACTCCGGAGAATTTCGTCCATCTATTCATCATATGTTCTAAACAAAAAAAAATGTTATTGTGATTTTGTATTTTTGTATTCACTAGGAGATTATTATTAC